AGTTAGCTAAATCTAAATCTATTTTATAAATAATTTATATAAAAAAAGATAAAATAGAATAGGCTAATAGGATCTACAGGTACAGAGCTTAAATAGTATACTATAAAAAAAAATTAGTTAATTTTTATAAAAAAAAAAAATAGGGCTAAGCTTTTATAAAAAAAACTAGTAAAATATTTTAAATACTACTGTAAAAAAAAAGTTAGCTAAATATTAATTTATAAAAATATTTAAAAAAAAAATATTATATAAAAAAACTTACTAAAAGAGAAAGAAAAAAAGAGTTGTAGAAAAAAAAAAAACTAAAAATCTAAAAAAAAAAATTTTTTTATATAAAAAAAAATCTTACTTTTATAAGATTAGCTCTGCTAGTTTTAACTATAAAGTATTTTAAACAGCTAAAATAAATAAATTAAAAAAAATTTAATACTATTTACTAAAAAAAGTTTTTTTAATTATAAAAAAGGCTATTTATAAACTATTATAAAAAGGCCGGCCAGTAGATAGTAGACTATATACTAGTAAAAAAATCTTATAAAAATAATAATAAAAGTAGTATAGTATATTTTTATAAAAATATAAAATAGTAAACTATTTTTTCTACTACTTTAGTTTTTTATAAAAATATTTATAAAGTAAAGATTTTAATAGCACTACTATAAAAGGTAATACTTTTTTATAAAAAAAAAAATAATTATAAAAATTTAAACAGCTTTTTTAATTTTTATAGATATCTATAAAAAAAAATATATATAAATAATTTAAAATAGTAGTTATATAATAGCTAAGTAAGCCAGCTGCAGCCGCTCCTAAAAACAGCAGTTGCTTTATAAGTTAGGTAAAACAGTAATAATACCTTAAAATAATATATTAGCATTCTTGGCTTTATAAAAGCTATTTATTTATCACACTATTTCACCCTTTAGCCCTTATACTTAGTTTTATATATAATTCTATATTTTACAGTATTCTTAGTATTTTACAGATCTGCATCTTATATATTTTTAAATTCTATAAGTATACTATAATATTATTTAAATAAATAATTACAAAGTTATCCAGATATTTTATAAATAAGGAATTTATAAAACTTTAAAATTCTATAGATATATTAATTAGTCTAAATAATATAACCAGATATTTAAACAGTTTATATTTTATTTAGAATACTATTTTTTATTTATATTTTTTTATAATTCTAATTTTATAATAGATTTTATATAGGTTTAGCTGTATAAACTAAAAAGCCTCTGTAAATTAGTTAATATACTTATTAATTTATAGTAGTAGATAGGTATTTTTTACTATTTATTTATTTAATTTATAGTAGTTTATATATATTTATAGGCTTTTATTTTTTTTATTTATAAACAAAACCGGTACGCCTACTAGTAATTTAAAATATTAGATTTATTTTTTTATAAATATTTTTTATAAGGAGTTTTATAAAATTTTTTTTTTTACAGGTAATATTTTATATACTTACCCCGGCTTTAGCCGGAATTTTTTATAAAAATTAATTTCTAAGTCTACTTTTAGTTTCTATATAGATAAGCTTACAGCTTTTTTTTTATAAATACTATTTTATATTTATAATACTATACTAGTATTTTTTAATTAGTAGTTATTTTATAAATTTTTTATACTATTATTAAATAAAAATTTATTTTTATAAAATTTTTTAATATAATTTTTTCTACTGTAACCTATAGCACTCTTAGTATACAGTATTTATAAAACTAAAGTTTATATTTATTAAATTTTATAATAGGCTTTTATTATTTTATTTAAAGTATTTTTAGAACTATTTTATCTGTTTTTAGTATTATAATTATAAAATCTGTTTAGTTTTTATAGTATTTTTAAATATTTTTTAAATATACTGTAAATACTATAGTTTTTTTTAACTGTATATTTTTTTACCTAACTTTTTTTATAATTATTTTTACTGGAATAGTTAGCTATTCTATTTATTTAGTAAATATTATAAATACTAGATTTACTTTTACTTTACTATTTATAATAATTTTTATTTTTATAAAATATTTCTTTTTTTTATAAAAAATTAACTATTTTTTTAGTTTTAAACTAAAGTAGATTATAATTTTAACTTAATTTAAGGCAGATACTACAACCCTGTCTACTAGTTATTTTATAAATAATTTAGTTAACTAGTAATCTTTTATTTAGTAATTTATTTATTTATAATTATAGTAAACTCTTAATCTAGGGGCCTTTATAGATATTTATAGTATTAAAAAAAATTATTTTAGCTTTTAAATTCTTTTTATAAAACTGTTAGTCTAGATTTTTAATTTTTAGATTTTATCTATAAAAATAGTAGATCTGCAACTTTTTTTTAAAATTTATTTATAAAATATCTTATTTTTTATTTATTTATATTATTAATTTAGTACTGGATATAATCTTATAAGTAGTATAATAAGATTTTATTTAGTTATAAAAAAAATCTGCTGCTTACAGATCTTTTTCTGGACTATAGAAAAAAAAATATAAAAAATAAGTACAGCTATATAGTATTAATATTTTATATTTTATAATTTAATTTAGTTTTTATTTTTTTTTATTTTTATAAATAAATAAACTCTGGTTTTTTTTTATAAGGCTTAGTTTTAAATATTTTTAACTAGATTTTTTACTGTTTATTTATAGAATTCTTCAGCTGTATTTTAAAAAACTTATAAAAACTAATCTATTCTTTTTTATAGTAAAATTTAATTATTTTATTTTTTTATAGATTATTTAAAATATAATCTAGATAGGCTACTATAATATATACTTTTTAATTTTTATTTTAATTATTAGCCTTTACAGTTAATTTTTATTTAGTAATAAATATATAGTAGATAGCATAGTTGCAGATACTATATTATTTTTTATCTATAAATAAATTAATATATATACTAGTTTTTTTAGTTTTTACAGTACTGGAATTAGAGTTTTTTAAATTTTTATATAAATATTTTTTTATAGTACTAATCTTTAGCTGTTTCTGCAGCTTAGTAATCTATTTAAATAAATATAAATATTTATAAAAATTTTAAATTAAAATCTATATTTTTTTTTTTAGTATAGATAATTTATTTTCTGCAGTTAATATATAGTTTTTTATAATTAGATTAAAAAAGTTATTTTTAATTTAGCTTTATATATTATAGCCAGCTATTACTTACTAGGCTATTCTATAGGGTATTAAATAATAAAATTATAAAAACTAAAAAATAAAATAGTATAATAAATAAATAGCTTTTATAAAGCTAAGGGTGCTAATATATTGCCTTAAAATATTATTACTATTTTATTTAATTTATAAGGCAGCTGCTGCTTTTAGGGGCAGCCGCAGCCGGTTTACTTAGCCGTTATATAACCGCCGCCTTAGGTTGTCTATATATATTTCCCTTCGCGGATATCTGCGAAGGTTGGAAGGGCTGTTTGGGCCCTTACAAGCTGCCTTATAAGTTAGGCAAGGCAGTAACAACACCTTAAGGCAATACATTGGCACTCTTGGCTTTGCAAAAGCTATTTGTTCATCATACTATTTCACCCTTTAGCCCTTATGTATATATTAAACTACTGGAAGGCTTTGAAAAAATAGTATATATAGTATATTTATAAAATTACTATATAGATTTAAATAGATACTATATAATTAATATAATGTATTTTATAATTCTTTTACTATAAACAGCTTTAAGCAACTATATACAGATTACTTTATATTTATAGAAAATACTTATTTATACTTATTTATATTAATAATATTTTTATATTTATACTAGATATTTTTATAATTAATATTCTAAAATCCTATTAAATAGCCTTATTAAATTTACTAATAACAGCCTTTATGTATACTTTTTGAAAATTAATATTATATAAATAAATAAAGATATTTATCTTTTATAGAAGTTATATATTAAAAATTATTTAAAATATCTTAGTTTATTTATTTATAAAAGCTTTTTTATACTTTTTAACTGTAAAAACCTTTTATTTAAGTATATAAAAACAGCGCAGCTGGATAATATTAAAATAGATTAAAAATATAACAGTATACCAATTTAAATTATATTTAATATATATTAATATTATATATATAACTAGTAAATTATTATTTTTTATAGCAAATCTTAATAAGCCTTATAATTAAATAATAAATCTTATATAGTATTATCTTATAGGTTTTTTTAACTGTTTAATTTTTATTAATATAGCAGCCCTAGTTTTATTTAATATTTTAATACTAACTGGGCCTGCTTTTATATTTATAATATTATATTAACTTTTAGCTATATTTTTAAGCTTATAGATAGGCAAGTTTTTTACAGTTTAAAAAAATAAACTACTATTATATTATTTAAGCTCTTATAATTTAAAAACTTTTTTAGCTATAATTCTTTTTTACTAAATTAAATATTTAATACTTTAAAATTATACCAGTATTAAAAACTAAATCTAATATAGTTTATACTAATAATTAATCTGCTATTACTTTAGCTAAAAATTCTGAATTTTATGTAAAAATTAAATCTGTATTTATTAAATGGTATTTTATATAATATAAAGTACATACTAAAAATATTAAATTTATTTATACCAAAATAATATAATAAGCAGCTAACAGTTTTATAAAGCTGTTTAAATATATAGTATATACTTACTTTATCAAACAGCTTAGTATAGCAGAATATATAATCTAATATTTCTATATTTATATATTTTTTATCTTTTATTTTAAAAATATAAGCAGCCTTATATTTCTTTTTATATATAACTTAGTGCGTAACATCCTTATTTATAGGGGGTATAAAAGATATCCGGTATTATATAATCTTAGACCTTACCACTTCGCCCACACACAGGCCATATAAATAGTTATACTTAATATTACATATATCAAGCCGTCACAATTCCTCATCTGCGGGGCCAATACCAGTTTGGTGAGCGAGACGAACCCGGTGAACAAGCGGCGGGACTTGATGGCCATTGCTGTGCTGATAGATCATCCTGATGCGGTACTGTTGCTGTTCGAGACTGGATGCTGAGGATATCGATACGGTATGCTGATACAGTCCCCGTTCCTGCATCGCATTGCTCTTGCGGCCGGACACTGAAGTGGATTAGCAATGGGGTGGAAGCATGAATCGATATCTTCCCCCGGACTGAGTACAGGGAAGAGCACAAGCTACCCAACGCGATTCAAAAGGCCGGGTACGACATCAAGGACATCAAAGGAGTGATCTTTGGGCACCTGCACATCGACCATGCCGGGAGTTTGGAGCACTTTATGGGAACGGACGTGCCTAGTGAGTAGCATTATTATTTCTTTGTTCCGCCTCCATCGGTGACTGTGAGGCAACTGGTGCTGAATGCTATAGTATACGTCCACGAACTCGAGTTCAAGCCTGCCTGCTGGGCTGTCGCTACCGGCGCTGACCGTGGTGTCTACCTCGCCGAATACCTCAGCCCTTCAAGTCTCAATTGGCAGACATTTCATGAAGCGTCAATTGACCTGTTCCAAGGAATCACTCTCCATCATGCGCCAGGTCATACTCCGGGTCTTTGTATCATGCAGGTCAATCTGGAACGAGACGGGACCATTATCTGCACGACGGACCAGTACCTCGTGAGACAGAACCACCTGGAGAAGATGCCACAGGGCTGGCTGGCGCGGGAGCACAATGACTGGGTCCGAAGCTCCGCGATGGTCAATCGGTTGCAGCGACTTTTTAACGCAAGGTTGTTGTATGGTCATGACAAAGAGGTGGCTGAGGCTATGATCCGGGAAAAGGAATTCTTCCTCTAGATCTCTAGTTAAGCCATAGACGCATTCCGTCCGCGTAAGATCACGATAACCATAAATATTACCCTGGATAATTCCCGTAGAGCTCATAAGACCGGCGATAGGTACTCCTCGACAGCAAGCAGATAGGAGGCAGAACGGACGAAAGGAGATGCACCATCGACATGCCAATATCTACCTCAGACCACGCCATTATGCCTTTACATGGGGGTAGTGAGCTGAAAGAGCAATTCAGGTTATTTCCTCAATAAATCTCATGGTGTCCGGACTGAACATGTGCCCAGTAAGTACGTTTCTTATACATCCTCCAGAAAGTCTGGGCGATGTACCAGGAAATCTACTTTTTCAATGATATTTGTATCCGCTTGAGCAGAAGCTGCAAAGAAGTATACGTAGCACGGCTCAGCCGAAGTTGTAGGATCTGATTAGCGCCAGAATGGCGAGATGCAAGGTCTATCCCGCTTCCGTCTTCAATGCCTAATTTTCATAGTGTCCGGGACATCTTCTCCCGAAGTAGTGCCCTCGATGTGCTCGACCTGAGCCTTCTCCATATAACCCAGGGGAGGAGTTGGGATACCAAAAAGGGTGGCACTTTCTTCCAAAGTCAGTCCCTTTGATTCCGGAAGACGAGCCAAAACGGGCACCCCTGAAGCGGGCACTATGATAAAGACTAGATAGTACTTCCACCCGACCCGGGTAAATGCAGTCGAAGCCGCCTCGGTGTAGACTGGAAGGTCATCAGCGGCTGAAAAGAGCCAGATGGGAGTACACTCGTGCTCGACTGGGTTGCTACTTACTTAAGGTCATCATGAAAAGCCCAAAGATGGACAGGGCCATCCCCTTGGCACGCTCATGCAGCGGGAATCTCTCCGAGCAGTAGACATAGCTGACCGTGTCCACGAAGATGGCGTAAAATTTCACATGCAGAAAGAGAAATACAATCTCCATGACGTTGCCCGCTTGGCTATCTGTGCTGCTATACCGGGCTACCACCGCGGTGTAGCAGCTCATCATGACCACGCATCCACACTGGTGACGCCACTTCGTCAGTCCACATCTCATACTTGAGGCGTCATACGCTGATACTCACAATGTCTACTACCATCATGCGCACTCGGCCCAGTCGGTCGACCATCCGGCTGGCTACCCAATTCAGGATGGCGGCCCAGCTGGTGTAGACCGAGTAGAGTAGTAGAGGGAGGGAGCCGTACAGCCCCAGGTTGTTCCATAGCAGAACCTAGTCCCCACATCCATACTCAATATCATGATCGCATCCATGAACACGAAATTGGGCGATCCTCACCTGATAGTTGCTGATCACCAGTATGCCGGAGCTCTGAGCAAGGCACCTACTGATTTTTTAGCTTTTTCCTATTCAAAGACGTGTGCACCAATTGCAGGTCGACTGACTGCGCGAAGAAGACACAGAGAAAGCGCTTCCGCGTCTAGGGATCTTTGATCGACTGAAGTACATTGTTGGATCTCTCGCTCTCAACGGCGATCTGCTCACAGATCTCCCTATACGTCTCCACGGTCGATCCGTCATGGTCCGTGGTGACGGGCTGGAGTCTCTTCAGAATTGACCATGCTTGGTTCCGCTGACCCTGGGCGATGAGCCACCGTGGGGACTCCGGGATCCACGGAGTAGTCAACACAAGAAGAAGTGGAGCGACAGCTGCCATGATTGTGAGGAGTGATCAGTTCAGATGGTTCTTCCTAGCGTCGCACGCGAAGTGAATTTGTCAAGGAGGGAGTACCTTGCAGAGACAGGCAAAGCCGCCATTGGGGTTCTAAATGAGTCTCGAAATAACACCCATATTCAGTCCAGGCAGCGAAAGCCTTCACGTACATCCCCAAACAACCTCGTCAGCTTGAACGCGGTCCAGTCCCTCGAAATCCGCAGTGGCGTGAACACTCACATAACCCGTCACAACCAGTATTCCATGCGAGCCAACCATCTTCCCTCGCTGGTGGGCGGGGGAGATTTCCGACTGGTATAGAGGAGTTACAATACTAAACATGCCACACCTGTATATATGTTGAGTGCCCGGATAGAATGATGTGCGTGCTCTCCGAACAAGAGACAGGAAAGATCGTACGCGATTCCACTCAAGCACCTGCCCACCAAGAATATCGTAATCCGCACCGAGGCCCCCATGATGGCGGCCGCAATCACTCCCAGCACACACGGGATTTGGATCGCCTTGACTCGACCCAGACGGTCAGCCAGCCAGCCATTGAAGGCGGCCCCAATCATCCCGCCTCCGGCAAAAAGTCCATTCGCCGCTGGATAGCTCAGTCAAAGTACAAGCATGATTATCTCGCAGCGCTCAAGAGCAGGGGTCTTCTCACCGCCAATGATGGAAGCCGAGCTTGATCAATTCAATGTCAGACCAAAATAGGAGAAGAACGAAGGGAGTCCAAAAACGGAGCCGATGATGGCCGAGTCAAACCCATAGGCAAACGAGCCCAAGGCCACCGTGAGGACGACCAGCAAGTTATATCTGGATACGGTCATTGTGAGGATGGGTGAGTGCGTCTGTGCTAGGTCGTAGAGCTAGGGGATGATTTCAGAATGCACGCATACTCACTTATAAGATGGGACTCTTGCGGCCATCGTCGGTACCGAAGCCGGCCGATTAGGTTTGACCCTAAACGGTTGATCGCTGCACTATTCTATTTTCTTCCTGTCTTTGCAATACCCCGTGGGGATCCCCACAGGGAAACACGGTCCTCCGCTCGTTTTGGGGGGCTGGGGAGCGCATGCAAACTGTGGGAAAAGGGGGCGGGGCGAACTTCTGTGCACAGCCGAGGTGTATTGGTAATTGCGTCCTAATCTTAAAGTTGCTATTCGAAACACAGGTCATCACCTCAACACACTCTTCGGCTGGATGGCTGACACTTGGGGTGTCGACTCTGGACGTGCATATCTGGCGGAGAAGGTATTGTGCACGATGGGAAATATGACGATGTTAACATCACCCGTTCTTCTACCCGTGAGTCCTGGAGTTGTAGATCCAGACATGTTGGCATTCTCTCTATCATTGTACCATATTCTTGCTGTCGAATCAGTATCAACTTGAACCTTTAACTAACTCAACCCCGGAGCACCAGCCACAGCCACCAGCCACAGACCAGATAACGAGATAGTACCTTATAGTATAGCACCCTCTCGCGGCGCCACCTCCGCTTTTGGTTCTGCGTACCTTATCTTCATATCAACATTACCCGAGGCTGATGGCATCGTATCCTGCATCTCCATCTCCATCTCGATCCCCTCCCGTCCCATTCCATCCCATTCCATTCCTCTTCCCCTTCCCCTTCCCCTTGATAAATCTCATCGCCTCAAGACTTCAAGCCTAAGGATGAGTGCCCCCTTAGGTAAAAAGCCGACTGCGTGTGTACCCTGCCACGAACGGAAGGTGCGCTGTGACTCGACAGTGGTGGGCGTTCCTTGTACTCGCTGTATAACCCGAGACCGAGCCGGCTCTTGCACTCTCCTTGAACGCGGGCCCAGGACCAGTGCCACCGACTCCAACAAGCGTCGACGTACAGTTCATGGCGGCCATGAGGCATCGAAAGATTCTAATAATTCCGAGCCTCACCCGGAACCGGCCTCTCCCTCCCGGCGTCCGCCAACCCCGGCGACAAGTGTTGCTCCGCGGCGGCATGCCTCCTTCAGTCACAGCCAGAGCGATGTGGCTCAGGGCCTGTTGGAATTGTCCCATGCAGGCGTGACTGCCTCGATACCCGAGACAATCCAGCCAGGGCTTCAACAAGGCCCTCCCGTCTACTACCTGGCTTCGGATGAGGATGCACATCTGGAAACCTTATGCCGGATGGCTGATGAAAACCCGGTAATGCTATCCCCGGTCCCCTTGTACACATCGGAGCAAGGGCAGCAGGTCATCGAGTACTATGGCGAACTCAACTCCATTACCGTCCTGAGTGAGGTTCTGGGCCAAGCACAGCGCCGGTTGATACGCCTCGATCTTCCAGGCCCTGCGGCGGTCGGCGCCCAGCAAAGGGAGCTCGCCGGCTTGGATGACGCCGACATCGCCTATTTGCGTGCAAAGCACGTCCATAATTATCCTCCCGCAGCGACCTGGTGAGAGAGACTTCCGCCTATCCGCTTGATGGGGCCGGTAAACGGGGGCTGGAATGCCTGGACTGACGACGCTATGCAGCCGCGCCTTTCTGCACCTGTTCTTTAAACACATCTACCCGTATACCCCGATCTTAAATCGACAGCAATTAGTGAAGGATTACGAGCAAGGCAGTTGCTCAAGCTTTCTTCTCTGGTCCATCTTCGCCAATGTCGTCCCATACGCCACCCCTGAGCTCGTCTTCGAATCTGGGTATACCGAGTACGCGATTGCGCAGAAGGATTACTTCTCGCGAGCCCGACTCTTGTATGATTTTGGATGCGAAAAGGGCCAGCTGAATCTTCTGCAGGGGTCGCTGCTGCTCAGCTCATTTCAGAACTCGTTTGCCCCGGATAAGGACTTTCGGTTCTGGTTTCACAACGCCACTCGCATCGCGTTGCAGATGGGGTTTAATCGACGGTATGGTCAATCCATCGAGAAACACACGCCGAAGAGCTAAGCGACAGTAGGGACTTGAAGAGCCATCTCGACTCATCTACTCAACAACTGGTGCGGCGGATCTGGTGGGTGTTATATGTAGGCCACCCCAATTCCTCCCACTATACAGCTTGCCCCCAGCCACACTAACGTGCCCGACGTGATTGCAATGGAAAGTCGCGTGATGTCTGGTTCTCGGTGGTCGGATTTGAAAATGGAAGACTGATCGATGATCACGGGATTAAATGGCGTCTGCCCGAGGCGGAAGACTGGACGGTCGAGATGGTCGCTACCCCGCCGCTTCCAGACATCATCCCCCCTGTTACTCCCCTCCACCAACATTTTCTCACCGAGAATTGTCGGCTGGCGCTGCTTGGTAAGTAGATCGTCGCTCTCAAACTCGCCTGATCTCGCCTAATCCTGGTGGTATCACCTGGGGGTAGGCGCGCGCTTTCTCAACCTCCTGGGGCCGAATCGCCCAACTCCTACGACCGCAGAAGCCCAAGCGTTCATCCATGCCCTCGCGGCGTGGCGTAGTTCCTTCCCGCAGGATTTACTCCTTGACCTTATCACCCACTGGGACGAAAGTAATGCCTGGGTCTTGTTCCTCGCGTCCATGGGCTACCGCCTGGAATGCTCCTTTTGCCGGACGCTGCGGCAGCGTGCCAGGACTTTGGTGAACAAGAGCCATGAATTAGCGACGTGGGCCAATGACCGGCTCCGGCGATGCATCTTCGAACTCGATACCGTCTTGAAGAGGGCGATCTTGAACGATGTCGCACGGTTTTGTCCCCCATCGCTGTATGACGAACCCATCCTGCCTGGCAACGAGAATCACTCTCAGCCAACTCATCATGACGCTCACTAATATTGGCTCGTCTGCAGGATAATCTGCATCTCACATCTTCTGGTCTTTCAGCTGGACGTTGTCTTGGACTCCACCACCTCAGAGGCACAGAGAATTGCGGCTAAGACGCAAATTCACACGGGACTGGCGTATCTCCGGGAGGTCGGGGATCGGTGGTTGAATGCCAAGTGGACGTTCCGGGTGTTTGATAGTGTGACGAAGAGGCTGGGGATCACGATGACTGGAGGCAGACACGAGCTCATGAATCCTTATCCTCATGATGAAGGATGGTCCGGAGTACCGAATGTCGGAATGGCGGACAGTGGCCTCTGGCGAGAGGACGCTGGGGCTGGACCAATGCAAAACGGGCCGGTGAGTGGGGGACACTCGGCGCCGACGCAGCAGCACCCGCAGCTCGGGGATGAAATGGCAATGCCCGATCGATGGATCGAAAGTCTATTGACGGAAAATTTGATGAATGGGTTGGATGATGGATTGTTTAGTCTCGTGCCGCCATAGCCATGGAGTCATATGACAAGGTACCTGCGTTTGGAGCCGAGACGCTCCACCCGCACGTGGCATCAGTCGGGATCGGCTTTCTTTAGTGTATCTGTACAGTAGACCGAGCGTGGCCGAGCCCCATTGCCGAAGCCCTTGCCCCCGAACCACGATTCATAAACTTGTACGATTCCCCAGAGTATTGCAGTTGCTCCCTCCCTCTCCCAAACGAACAATGACAGAACCCATCCCCCCTCGTCCCTCGGCCTCCCTCACCGGCAAAGTGGCTGTAGTCACCGGTGCCGGCGCCGCCCCCGGGGCGATCGGCAATGGCCGCGCCACTGCCATACTCCTCGCAGAGGCAGGCTGCGCCGTCGTATGTGTGGACTTGAAGCTCTCGCTGGCCGAGGAGACAGTCGAGATGATCGAAGCCGACGGTCTGGGACACGGGGTCGCCATGGTCGCCGACGTCACAAAGGCCGAGGACTGTCAGCGAATTGTCGACCTGGCGCTCTCCACCTACGGCCGTCTTGATATATTGGTCAACAACGTGGGGGTCATGGGCGCCAAGGGGAGCGCCGTGGAGGTGGATCTCGACGGCTTCATGGACGGGCTTCGCATCAACGTGGCCAGCATGGTGCAAATGGCCAAGGTTGCCATTCCCGCGATGGCGGCGAATGCAGGACCGTGTGCAGGAAGCATCGTCAACATGTCCAGCGTGGCCGGATTGCGGGGCGGCACGCCGCATCTTCTGTACCCGACAAGCAAAGGGGCGATTGTGAATATGACCCGAGCCATGGCAGCCAACCATGCTGCTCAACGCATTCGGGTGAACTGTGTCTGTCCAGGTACGGGTCCCGATGCTGTTCTCGCCTGATCCTGATCGTTATCTCGCACGCTGCACGGTCGGCTAACTCGCTACAGGCATGGTATACACCCCGATGATGTATCAGAACGGCAGTGGAATGAGCCGGGCGGAGCGAGAGGCACGCAAAGCAAGAAGTCTACTGCAGACCGAAGGCAATGGGTGGGATGTGGGGGCCGCAGTGCGCTTTCTAGCAAGTGATCTTGCTCGATGGGTGACTGGGGTTGTCCTCCCTGTTGATGCTGGCACCACGGCGGCTACGGGAGTCGGGATGCAAGGACTGCATACGTCGAACCTCATGCACGGAACGGAGCCAAAGGGTGTCTCTTAGGATGGTAAGTATTTGGTCTAACATAATGACGAGTACTACCTTCCTGCTAGATGCAGCGAATCTTTCTCCCTATTGGGGAGAGATGAATCGATGAGAAATCGAGCGAAGTAGCCCGATCAAGATACAGCACAGAGGTCTCGGCATATCAGCCGTAGAACGAGGTACCGATATCGAATACCGCATATATATATACATAAAAACAAGAAGCGCAGGCGCCTGTCAGTGACTGGTCTTTCAGAGTCCAGCAATCCCCTGAAGGGTGGCCGGCGTAACAGGCCCTGATGCGGATGGTAGATAGGGATGCCGATCAATAGGCCCTATCTGGAAGACACCACAACAATCTCGATGAAACCCCTCTGTCGCAGAGATACAGCAAGCGGGAGTCTCCGTTGGGAATGTTCAAGGCACCGCCACAGCCGCATGGCCGCAGGCGGATGTCACGTGACAGCGGCCACAGGCCTGTGGCCAAGCCACCACGTGAGCACGTGAGTTGTAGCTGATGACCCCTCCATCTGCTTTGTTGTAACTTAGCCGCCAACAACCTCAGCTTCCACATCCAACTTCTTACCTCACCCACCAGCGCATCCACCCTCAAGCCCCTTGCAATGGTCTTGCAACCGGAACAGCTGCCTTTCACCAGTGAATTCCTTTCTTAATCTCTTTTACTAAGTAAAAATAAAATTCATACTTATAAAAATATTCTTAGTGTGGCTAACAGCCAGGTTACGTTAGGTTAATTAGAATTTTTATATCTGACTACCAAGTTATAATTAGATTAAGAAAATTTTTATACCTAACTACAGTATAGCTAAAAACTAGATAATTAACTATTTTAATTATTTTTAGTACTAAAACCTATCTGCTATACCTTTTTTAGCTGTAATATAATTAAGATATATTTAGATTAAGCAGTTATTAATCTAGCTATCTAAACTATTACTAAAAAGTATATAAAAAAAAAGCTTTTTAAATAAGATAAAAATAATTTAAAACAAATAGTATTTTTATTATCTATATAACTAAAAAATAATAAAAAAATCCTGGTAGTATTAAATGAATTTAGCTTTTTATAAATTAGTTACTATTATAATATAAAATTGTCAGACTAGCAGGTCACCTGGTCTCCAAACCCTAGCCCTAATAAGCCTTAATTTAATCAATTAAATAAGAACTATTGTTTTTGGCTATTTTTTTTACAGGCTAGCCAGGCCCGGCTATTTTACCCCTGTATCCTTACCCTTATATTTATTAATTATCCCTTATTTCCTATTTAGAAAACTGATAAATAAAGGATTTCGGCTTAAATAGCCTAATATATTCTATTATTTTTAAAGATTAGTTTAATCAGTTCTATTTATCTAATAATTATATATTAAATCTGCTGTTATGTTTATTTTCCTATTTATCTAATTTTTGATTTTTTTACTTTTTCTCTACTTTTATCTTATTTTCGCACCAAAATTATATGCAGAAATAAAAGTTTAATAAATCTAATCTAAAGTTTTTTTAAAATCTAATAGTTTTAAGCCCAGAAGACTTTTTATATTAAATTAATTAATACCCTGTAATTAATTTAATTAATTACATTTATTTAATATAAATAATCAGATTATTTAGTAATCTAATAAGATATTATACTTAAATTAGTTAGATAACTGGATTCTATAGATTAATTAAATTGAACTATTTATAATTAATAATGAAATTTAGAATTTAGTAAATCTAAAACTACTAACCAAGCCTACCTACCTAATTTAGCCTAGTACTATTAGTATAAAATAAATTAAATAATTAGTAAATTTGATAATTAATTTTAGTAAAATAAACTGTCTACTATATTAAAAAGCTAAGTAGAACTACTACTAAAATCTTAAAAGATTTAATAATACTGTTTCTGCTTTAGCCTTTTTAAGCCGATTAATTAATTTAATAATTAGCCGGCAGAATTAATATACTATACTTAATTAAAAAGAGTTTTATTAAATTTTTATAGCTTTAAAGAACTACTTAGTATCTACTAACTAATTAAAAAAATAAGATTTTATTAATTAATATTACTATTAAAAAACTGTAATAAAAGATTTTATTAAAGTCTATACTAAATAATAAAAATTAATATATTCTAAAGCTGTAGAGCTTTAAATTAGTAAAGTATAAAAAATAATTAAAATATTTTTTAACTTTTTTAAATTAATTTATCAAATAATAGGTACTTTTGTTTTAATCTAGTGATTAAAGCTTATTAAAAAAATAATACAGAAAAAATCTCTACATTTTTTAAACTATTATAAAAAATATATAATCAAATTTATTTAAATTACTAAAATAGGCAATTTATTAATAAACCAATAAAAATTAGTATAACTAATTTTTGAAAATAGAATAATTAAATAAGATAAAATTTTTAGTAAAAGAAATAAATAAAAATTAAAAAAAAATATCAGCTAACCAACCTTACCCTTATAAATTAAAAAAAATAATAGATATTGTAATTTTTAGAATTATTAATATATAAATAAGCAACTTAAAGATTTAATATGGATATTTAATTTAAAAATACTAAACTTCTTTTAGTAAATATATAACTATTTACTATTTAAATATATCTATAAAAAATATATTAAATATATTAAACAGATCTAATTATTTTAAAAATAGAGAAAAAATCTAAAACTGAAAATAGATATTTTGTAAAATTTATTTTAATAATATATTAATAAACTTTTAAAATGAATAATTTATTAATAGCAATATTAAAATGATAAATATTTAATACTATATCTAATAGCTATATATAAATTACTAAAATCATTTACTAAATATAATACAGTCAAGAATAATAAAATATATATTAAAAATATTTTAAATTTCATTTAAAGTTGTAAAATAATCTAATTCCGCCCTATTTATCTAATTAAAACTAGTATTATTTTTAAATTAAAAAATATTGCCTTTGTTCTAGGCTTCTACTATAATATTATATTGAAATAAAAAATAAAAAAGTAGGGCTATTTTATAATTAAAAATTGTTTTTAAAAACTTTTATTAAAATATTTATTTATAAAATTAAGCCTATTTATAGGCTATATTCAATTTAATAAAAATAATTGATTAAATTTTTAATAATTCTAAATTTAATAATTAAATATTTAATTGGATTATTTAAAAAGCCCTATATTATTTAAGAAATTATAAAATAATAGTATAATTCATTAAAGTATTTAAAAAAAAGCCCTAAAATATTTTAATTAAAAAGTTTAAAAAATTGAAATTACTTTAAATAAGCTAGATTTAATTTAGAAATACCCTATATATAAAATAATTCATTAAAAAAATAGATTTTAAAATAAAAAATTTGCTAAGGTACAAGGCCCTTTAAAACTATTTATTTAAATTTAATTTTTTTAACACCTAAAATAAATAAGACAAAATATA